TTCGGCCGCACCGGGCCTGCTCTGGCCTTCTCTTCCTGAGAGCCGACCGCGGCTGAGGCGGTGGAGTTCACGGGGCTGCGATGAAAGTGTAAGCCCGGAGCCCGTGGTGGCCACGGGAGCCACTCTTCCTCACTGAAAAACGAGGGTTTCAGCCAGAAAATAAAATGTGCCGAGGAAGACCAGGCATCACATCTGCTCGCTATCACCCGTGTGCAGAGCGCGGTCTGTCTGTCTCCCGTCTTGCTGCATCTTCCCGAATGCTCTTTTCGGTTTTTGGGGGGATTTTCTGTTCGCAGCCTCTCAGTGCCCGAGTTCCCGGGGCAGCTGGGCCCCGGGGGACCTGATTTCCACTCCCAGAGGGTGCCTTTCCCCCCAGTTTTCAGGATTTGAGTGTGACGTGGTTTTGGCTGATCCAGGCTTTCAGCTGTAAAGAGAAATGGAGACGTAAATAATGAAACTTTCCCCAGGAAACGTCAAACCCTTCTCGGGGACAAAGACCTGACTGTTGGGCGTCAGTGGTGAGCTTTTAATTTAATTTAGTCCTCAACTGCTTTGGAGAAGGGGGAGTCGAGGGGCTGGTGGGAAGAGACTCCCAGGTGTAGGGGAGAATATTTAGCAAGGGTAAAAATAACACGCAGCTGTGAAGACAAACATCTACAGTTTCAGTTTGCGCCTGGAGCCCGAGCGAGTCGCTGACCAGCTCCGCTCCCGGCTCGGGTCTGAAGTAGCTTTTCCACTGCCTGATTCAGAAACAAAACAGACCCACACATCACCCCGCACCCCACACAATCCCCTCCTTGTCTAGGGCCCTAAAAGTACTTTTTGTGGGGCTTTAGCGCGACTCATGCTACAGACCTGGGCACTTGGCCGCGTCCATTAGGACAGCCCTGTGCCTTTAGGATGCTCTGGGAGGAAGCCCCCGAGGGGTGGCTGAGCCCCGTCGGGCTGGGAGGGCCCGGCGCCCGCACCCTGGCCAGCCTCCCCGCGGGTCTGCTCCGGGAGCTGTCCTCCCCGGTCTCCTGGGGCCTGGCTGCCCCGGGGGCCCCGGCCCTGAGAGGCTGCTAGCGTGAAATCCCCTCATAAACTGAAAAGAACATTCGGGAAGGTGCTGGTGTGCTGCCAAGGGGGTGTGGCTGGTGACCGCTGGGTGGTGGACGCTCCACACCCTCCCGCCCGCCTCAGAGTGGTCGCGGAGGGTGAGTGTGTGCAGGCAGAGAGGCCGAGCACCACAGCGCAGGTGCGGGAGACGGGACACCGTGCTCCGAGCCTGGGACGGTGCCTGGCACTCAGGGCACCCCAAGGGCTTGATAAATGGCTGGACGCGTGGAGGAGGGCCAGTGTGGGCAGCCTTGGAGAAGCTGGGCAGCTTCGGTCTGTCCTGAGGCCACGCGGGGCCTTCTGGGGAGCTGCGTTTGGGCGACTCTGCTTTAGGGGCAGGATTGGTGCTGCAGAGGGGCCCATGGCTGCCGGGCGTCAGGCTGCAGAGCGGCATCTCCAAGGCACGAGGCGTTCGGGACGAGGATGGGCCTCCGGGGGCCACGGGCCGCCCGGGGAGAGGTGCTGCACCCAGCGGCCCGTGCCGGCTGGCAAGGGAGGTGGTGAGCCCCCGGCGCCCTGCTCACCGCCATCGAGGGTGAGTCACGCCTGGCGCGGCTGGCGAGCTCAGGCCACCCCGGGCTGGTGCCGCCTGCTCTCCGTGCTCAGCCAGCGCAGCCTCCGTCTGGTGGAGCTGGGGCCGCCTCTGCCCTCACTCGGGCCCTTTCCCGGGGGGCACGGGCTCTCCGAGCAGGCACCGGGCCGAGGGCCGCCACACCAGCGTCGTCGCCAGCTCCGTTTTGGTTTTCAAAACCCGAGGCCCTAGTTTCAGCTTCTAGGTGCACTCTCCCCGCCCGTCACCTTCCCCCAGGAGGCTTCGTGGGTGGAAGCCAGCGATGAGCCGAGCTCTTGGACAGGGTCTCGCTGACCCCAGTGTCTCCGCGGATGCGCCAGAGGACTTGCGGCCCAGCCCCCTGCCTCGCCGAGCCTCGGCCCGCAGGTCCCGCGCCGGCCCCCTCGCCCCCCGCCCCCCGCCTCTCGCCCCTCGCCCCTCGCCCCTCGCCCCTCGCGCAGCCCCACTTTGTACCCGCTGCGTCCTGTGCTCGCGTCCTACGACACTGCTGCCTTTTGGCAACGTGTAGAAGCATCCCGACAGGTGTGAGGATGCGAGGGGTGCGCGAGCCTGGGGCGGGTGGTGCCCCAGATGGAACCGCGTGTGTCCCCCGCTTACACTGGAGGGCCGTGCCGCCCGGAGGGCTCGTGGCCCCCTCCAGAAATTAATAGCCATCTCGCCATTTCGAGGACAGGACCTACCTTTGCTGGGGAGGCGGGGCGGGCAGGTGGAGGTGCAGCCTGCCCGCTCCTGGTTCTGAGGCGGGAATAAGACCCCATCGATCCTGCCCTGTGTTTTACGCTGCTCCGAGGCACAGCTGTTGGGGGACACTCGGACGGGACCCACAGAGGATGCTCTTTGCTCTTAGCACTTCTAGGAGGATAGACAAGGGGAAGCACCGGACGTGAGGACCCCTGGGCCCTCCAGTGCAGCCCCTCGGGGTGACCTCGCCCCTCGGTGGGGCTGGAGTCCACCTGACTTATTACAAAAACTATCAAAGTGACAGAAACTGTATCTCTGTTCTGTCTTCCTCTGGTGCTAAAACAAAATAAATAGGAAAGAAAAGACTTCCCCCCCAGTTGCTCCAAAGGAACACGTTTTGAAGAGTGTGAGGATCTCTGGGCTCGTTTTCTCGTTTTCCAGAATGAAAACAGGGAGGGAAAACTTTGTGGGGTGAATTAAGTCTTGTATAAGATGAAAACAGTCGCTGTACCAGAAACTGCCCCTGTTTTAAATCTTTCACCTACTTTGTGGACAGCCTGGCAAGGTGCAACGTAAGAGCTACCCCCTCTCTGGTTTGATGAGGGGTGCATTGACTCATTAAACCCAGGAAAGCTGCTGTGCCCCAGGCCTAGAGGTGTTGGCTTCAGTGAGGAAATTAAATCATGAAGAGCTGGAAGAGAAGCCGTTAGCTGGGAAGGTTTCCCACCGTCACGATCCCTGTTTCTGTCTTGTGTATCTCTTGGACCTTTAAGATTTTTGATGATGAATCGCCTTGCTGGAGAAGAAAGGATTTACGGTACTTGGTACCAGACATTCAATGAAATGGCCTAAAATGTGTGGATGGATGCATCAGAACATCGCACATCTGGGACTGTCTAGCTGTCACCTGAGTTCATTGCTTGAGCAGCATTTAAAACTTCTTCCCTAGGAAGCAGGAAAACGTCCCTTCACCTCCCTTCCCAAGTAACCTCTCCTTGAGACGAATACACCAAAACATACACGTTGCTCTCCACGGATGGAGTTTTCCCAAGGGATAGGAAGTCAGGTCTCACCTGAAGACATCAGTGTTATCAGTGTTTTGATATTAGGAGATCTTGAGAGATGACTGGCCAGAGGGGGTGGAGGGGGAGATAGCCTCAGGAGGTGATAACACACCTGGGGGGTGTTGGAATAGAGAGGCTCGTCCCATATGGAGCCAACCGCCTGTCAGCCCAGCTGTGAGGCCGCCACCGGCCAGGGCTGTGGGTTTCCGGGCGACCCCCGCTCCAACCTCATCCACAGACATGCCTCTCTTCCCTCATGTCAGCCCTCAGCTCCCGCCCCACGGTGGCCCACGCTCCAGAGACCCCAAGAACAAGCCTGTGGGCACTCACAGCACCAGGCCCCTTCAGCGCCCCTGATCTGGCCATGCCCTCGCATGGCCTTAGGGTCCAGAATGACCTTCTCTGTCCCGCCAGCCCTGCCTCTCCCACCCAGAGGGGCTCCTGCCTCGGGTGGTTTTGACCTCCCAGACCTGAAGGCAAAGCCCAGGCCAAGTCTGCGGGGTGCTGCAGGGCTCATTCGAGCCAGAAGTGGGGGACACAAAGGGGCTCGCTGGCGGGGCACCCGCCCCCCAGGACTGCAGCATCGCTGGCATTCAGAACCCAGTGGCAGTTTGTAGATCCCCAGGAATATGCGAACCCTTGTGCTGGGTAGACCTTGAGGCAATCTCTGGGAGCCCACTGAGGAGACAAACCCAGTGACAAACCGGGTGACCCCCTGGATCCCAGCGAGCCGGCCGGACGCTCGCCAAGCTGTCCGCTGGGCTCTATTTGGAATGTCCCCGTGAGGGCCACGTGATATTAAGACAGCGATGTGCTCCCGCCTACGTGCCCGGCGCCTTCGGGCCCCCCAGCCCTGTGTCCACGCCTAGGCGTGGAGTGCCCAGTCCCCACCGGCCCTCAGAGCTGGCTCCCAAGGCGGGCCGCCGGGACTTGAGCTTCAGCGGGAGGATCTTGCCGTGTTGGCGAGGGCCTCGGGCGAGGGCTGCCCCGGGTCAGCCCTGCGAGCCCCTGGGGCTGCCTCCGGCCGGTGCAGTAGGGCCTGTCCACCGTCTCGGGCGTCCCCCGCGCCCTGTCCCATCAGGTGCTGCGGGTGGGGTGTGCGTTTCCCAAGTTGCTGGCCGAGCTCAGAGCTCAGGGGCTGGCTGCTCGGACACCGTGGTCAGCTCAGGCCGCAGAGCAAAATACCAGAGCTGGGAGACCAGTCCGGAGACTGGTCCCAGGGGCTGGTGGCTGGCGACAGCTGCTCTTTGGGGTGCAGGTGGCCGACTCCTCACTGTGCTGGGATGGCGGGCGGAGGGAACGCGCTGGTCTTGTCCTCTTCTTAGAGGCACCGAGCACCTGCTGGAGGCCCCCCCTTTTCGCCTCATAGGTCTGCTCTCTGCCAGGGGCGCACGCGGTCAGCGTCACGGGCCAGGGCTGCCCCGTCCGCCTTTGGGAGGCCACAGACACGCGGCCTCCAGCCCGCTCTGAGTCGCGTCTCCCACCCGCCCCTCCTCCCCGTCGCGCCCCGGCCTCCCAGCCTTTCTCCGCGCTCACGGTCCGGAGGCGCCTCGGCTAAGTGACGGAACGTGTGTCTTCTCCTCCAGGAGCTCCCCCGACGAATGCAGCGTGGCCAAAGGCGGGAAGCTGGTGGGCAGCCCGGACCCCGTGGGCATGAACTATGGCAGCTACATGGAGGAGAAGCACATGGCCCCTCCGAACATGACCACCAGCGAGCGCAGAGTCATCGTCCCGGCAGGTGAGTGCCGCTGGGCTCCTGGCCGCCTCCCCGCCTCCCCGATCCCCTGCAGGGTGGGCCTCCTCCTTCTGGGGGGAACATTGGTTGACAGCACCGTGTGTTTCAGGGGGACGGGGTCACCCCGCATCCGATGCATGCAGCCACACTGCACCCACCACGGTTCTCCGCCGCAGTTCCCTGGGCCCCGCTGCTGTGCTCCCCGGCCCCTGCCCCCAGAACCTCAGATGCAGCTGGACTTGTGGGGTGTGCCTGGGCTTGGCTTGCCTGTGTCGGCTTTGACACAGGAGGGAAGCCGCCAGGGCGGGCAGTGTCCCAGCGACTTAGTCCGCTCAGCATGGCGCCCTCGTGGCCTGGCGTAGGGCCCGGCGGTGGGAGCGACAGCAGCGTCCACCCAGGACACAGATGGGCCGGAGCACACGGCTCGTGGTGAGACGCTGGACTGGGGGCCGCGGGCTGTGCCTCAGCTGCGTGGTCCTCGTGGGCTCTGCGCAAACAGCCCGAAGCTGGTTAGAGGCAGCGGGGACTGTCCCTGACCTCGGAGCACTTTGTAAGCTTTCCCGGGTGCAGCGGAGATGGTCTCTGGGCCAGAGCAGAGGGACAGGCTGGCGTCAGTGTTTCTGGGAGGCACACAGAGGCGCCGAGGAGGCGTGCTGGTAGTGAGCAGCCCGCATGCCCCCGGCTCCTACCTTGCCACAGCTCCTCAGACCAGAGGCTCGCTGACTGGGGAACCACTGGAAGTGCAGGTGCTTGGGGCACCTGTCCCAGGTGGGGGCGTGCAGGCCTGCAGGTGGGAGACGGAGGCAGGAGATGGCCGCCGCTGCCTGTGTGTGGCGCCAGGAGGCAGGAGCCCAGGGACACCTGCCCGAGCCCACTGCACCCTCTGCTCAAATGTCTTCACTTGAGGCAAGGCCAGGCTCAGTTGTCAAAGTGGAAGACTCCATCTAAGCAGAGGCCTGCACAGGACTCTTGCTCCTGTGGAAGCTCAGACTTGCGCCAGCGATGTCTCGGGCCACTCACAGCCTTTACCAACGCGCTCGGATTCCAGATCCGCCCCTGGGCACCCATGCCATCGCTACCCTTGTCATGGGGGTCAGGTGTGAAGCTTCCTGTGGAAGTGAACATGTCTAGAACCCAGAAGAGAGACTTATGTGAGGAAGAAGCAAAGCACCGATCAGTCACGTCGGAACAGCCGCCGTTTCTGGTACAAAGTAGGCGCTCATCAAATGCGGGGTGCATATCGGCTCACGGTCAGTTTTTTGTGTAAAGACTGGCTTCATCTCCTGAAGAAAGTCCTCCTTCAGCTCTTCCCTCCTTTGCTTGCTTCACGCCAGTGCAGACAGTTATTCAGTTACGGTGTTGGTAAGACAGCTAGCTGTGGCTGATTTTGCAAGTTGTGAGTCTTTCGGTTATTGGCCAAGCTTCACGTATGTGTACTCATCCACAGACACACAGATGAGCACACACCCACACACCCATGCAGACACAATTTCATTGCACAATCTGGGTCATTCCCCAATGTGGCCTAAGGTTGCAGAAGCTCGGGCTGGGAGCAGGTCTCTACCTGCGCCTGTACCACCAGGGGCAGCACCACACACCTCACTCAGCACCTTTGGGGCAGAGAGTGCTCCTCATACATCAGTAGAATTCTTCAAGCGTGGCCCTGGCTGGTCCCTACTGGCCCTATTATAAAATATATTGATGAGCACCCGTACGTGCAAGCCATAAAGCCATAAAGCTATGTGAGAGAATGTTACTCACTTTTTGGCATCAGCCACATACTCAATTCATGCCCGAGACCTAAGTCTGTTCCTGGTACACACTGGCCAGAAAGCAGGTATGCGGAGAGGGAGACGAGAAACACGACACCAGGCGTTGGGTGTGTGTGCTCAGATGTGGAACTCAGGTCTGAGGGACGCGCTCTCACATCGCAAGGGCCTTGGTTTGAGGACTCACATGTCTAACTTAGAAAGTTGTAACGGAATTCATAAAATATCCCTAATCAGTACATAGAAGGTAAATATACCTTCCTTGGATATATTTAGACTTAACCTCCTATTTTCCTTACTTCAGAGTGGATTCATGAAAGCTTACAAATGCATACCGAGGAGCAAGGTAGCATCAATTTTTAAAACTCAGTTGACAAAGAGCATGAACAAGAGCGAAACAGACACAGTGAAAACAGGAGTGTGGCGCATCCCGCCCTATGTACGTATATGTCTGTGCAGACACGCACTTTAAAAAACATGGACTTACAAGTCCTGCACAGTGGCACAAGTTGTGTGTTATTTGGCTTCAAGATATCAGCAGGCAGCAGGAAAGCGGTCCCCCAATCAAATACATAATTCAGTGTCCTTAGAATTGAAGAAAACTAATGTGGGCTAGATGGCCTAGCTGGCATTCTAAGTCTAGAACAAAATGTGACCCTCAGTGTAGGGACGGTTGAGGGGAAGGCACTCAACCCAGTGAGCCTCCCGGCCTCCTGGCAGCTCTGGCTTCTACCTGCTTTCCTGACAGGACAGTTGATTGTGCTTCCTTTTCTCAAAGTTGCTAGATATGCATTAGTGCATAGTCACATCGCTGCATGTCTGCCTGCCTGCCTGTCCACCCACCTGTCACCAATACACTCACCCGTCCATCTCCTGTCTTTCCTTCCTTCTTCCATACATCCATCATCTCTTACCCTCACTCTCCTTCCCTCCCTCCGTCTCTCTCTCTCTTTCTCTCTGATGTACATATCTGTAGATCTAGGGCTCTGTCTTACAGGGTTGTGTTGTTTCTTATATTGGGGTAGACAACATGTCATAAATAATAATAACAAGCAGCGTGACCTAGTTCAATGTCTCTTTGTTGTCTCAGCTAAATGTGAAGACTAACTGGAAAATGTTTCTTAAAGTATGGTTAGAACCACATGTGTCAGGATTACCTAGGAGCCTTATGATTTAAAAATGCACGTTTCCAAGTGTTCTGAATCTAGCCACGGTACTGAGGCTTCTTAACTGAGTGTTAACAGGTTTCTCTGTGATTTTCATGCACAAAAACTTTGAGAAACTAAGCTAGCTAAAAGTGCAAGTAAATTCTACTTTAATATGCTTTAATTATTTTTAATAAAAGCATGAAATGTCACTTTTAGAACAGGGGAGTGGGCAAAAAGGGAGGGTAGAAAATAACTAACAATATCCCATTGATATTCCAAAGACTGAAAGTAAATGAAAAATATCACCCTTTGGTAGGAAGAAACATACCAAAACCTTTCTAAAAGCTCCTCCCTTAAGGTATATTATGGGGGTTTGTTGCTTTGACACAATAAATTATGTCATCTGTAGTTAAAGGCATTCATAGGAAAACTGAGGGCCACAGAGGCACATCTACTAAATACAGCAGATGCAGTGTGTCTACTTCCAGTTGCCACCACCCTGCCTCGCCTACACTGTGAACACAGATCAGTGTTTGGAAACAGTGGATCCCCACTGCACAATGGAACATATTTGCTCCAAAGAACTGAAACTTCATCCATCTCATGAAATGCCTTCCATCAGGTTTGTGCAGGGCGAGTCTCTGGTAATGGCTCTTACTTCTTAGGTATTGACAGCCAGGAGTCATGCGCTCACCTAGAGGTCTCACAAAGAGGAAGGCACAGTCTTCATTAACTTTCTTAAACGTTGCAAAATGCTGACCAAAATGCAACAGCATTTTTTAGCAGCATCGAGCATTTTGAAAGTTCAGCGTCGAGCATTTTGAAAGTTTGTTCTTTTTCTCTTCTTATTTCCTACATTGGTCCTGAAGTGCTGAGCACTCCAAACATTTGTGCCTTTATGTTGAAAACATCCATCTTGAGCAAAAGCACTCAGGGTAATCGGAAGCCTCAGAGAGACTCGCTTCACTCACCTCTTCACTGGTTCACTCTCTTCATTCACTTACCCAGTGGTTACTGTTTTCCAGTCACTAGAAACAAATGCTCATGTATGATTTAAAAACCCATCGTTTTGGCCCCAAGAACGCAGGTGGCTGAAACTACTTGTAGTGTGTCTTGCTCAGAGCCTCGCTGCTGGGCACGTTCTCCTCAGTCTGGGACCTATTCCCTGAGTGCGTATTACTCTGCTGCGTCTCACAGAGCTGAGCAAGGCCTGGCAGGAGCAGACCAGACCCACGCACCTAAGTAGTTCAGACAGGCAGGAGAGAGTGTAACTTAGAGCTCAAATGAGTAATTCAGACAAATAACACTAAGGATGAGATCAGTGTGAACATGGCAGGTGAAGAAGAGCTTCGCCTGTATACCTCGCGTTACAATGCCTAACTCCTTTCACACCTCCTGCCATCTTCCTTTGCCATCTGCCGAACTCCAGTCATGAACTCTGCTCATGGGCTGCATGTCCACCACCCAGCGTCTTTCTCCAGAGTGTCCCCTCTGCTGTAGTGTCCTTCCTTCTTTCTCCACAAAACAAGTTGTGCTCATTCTTCAAGGAAACTTGGAAATCCGCCCTGGTAGGAAGCCATCTTTACTCTTCTGGCAACTGAATTTCTGCTCTTATGACATTTTACTGATTCTGTTATAATCACAGTTTATTTTTCTTCATATTATTTTCTCGAGTGGTGCTATATAGTTACTTAGGTATAGATGTCCCATTTCATTCCATGAGGGATTTGATATGCTTTATGAGCCAAACTACTGATAAACATGTGATCAAATAGAAATCAGAGATCAGTAGTGAGATAATTAGAAATACTATTGGAAAACTTAGATCACATGACAGAAGAATGCAGTCATTTTGACCACAGACTTGGCTGAGATGCTGGCATTAAGCTTCCAGTATAGCTTTGAGCTTCCTGGCAGCCAAAATAAAAAGAGTGGTTTGGGGAACTAATCCCTGTTTTCAGAAATAATTTTCATGGGGAAGACACTGTGTTTCTCTGGGCAGGATCCTAACAGCAAGATCCCTGGACTTACGTTCAGGGTCCACTGGGACAGTGAGCATGGCTCCCTTCCTGCCTCAGGGAATGAC